ATATAAAGTCACACATTAATACATCTATTTATTGTTGCCCAGCCTGGCCTCGAACTTGCTATCCTTCTGCTTCAGCCCCCTGAGTAGCTGAGAATACTGGTGGGCACCACTGTGCTCTGTTAGTCTACCTAATGAATGTATGGTTGCATTTAACTTTGGTATGGCTTTCTTTGTGTTCCTCTGCAAAATATAGATGAAAAATTTAATTTCGTGCATATAATTTTTGTGCTAGGAAAGAGTCACATTCTTGGTGATAGTCATTGGCTCAAGAAGAGCAGCAGTTAAGATTCAAGAAACCCCAACACATAATAGCTAAGTGATTTTTATTTTTTATTTTTTGTGATAGTGGGTATGGAACCCAGGGCCTCATGTATGCTAGACAAGCACTCTACCAGTGACCTATGTTCCCAGCCCTTTTCATTCTATTTTGAGACAGGGTTTCACTAACCTGCCAACGTGGTCCTTGGACTTATAATCCTCCTGTCTCAGCCTTCCAATTAGCTAGGATTACAGGTATGTACCACTGAACCTGCCCTGAGAGCTAATTCTTCACATTAAAAATTGTGATAGTTCATGATACGGTGTCTGGAATTCTCTTCAAAGTAAGGTTGAAACGTGGATGGGAGGTACAGATAAAACAGAATTGACCCTGAGATGATAATCACTGGAGTCGGGTGGAAGAAATTTGGGAGTTCATTATACTGTTCTCTTTACTTTTGTATATTTGAGGCTTTCTATATTAGTTTGAAATGAGAGAGGGATAATTGTTGTATCCTAAAAAGTACATGATTTCAATCTTTAAGTGGTGGATTCAGGCTAAAATATATGCCAAGTTATTCTCCTGGAGGAAACTGTAAAAATCATAAAATAATCCTTACAGACATTGCCTTGCGTAAATGGTCTCATCTAATTCTTCATTTTGAAACTTAGGAGAGCGCCGTGTCCTTGGCAGTCAGCCTGCAGACAGTCACTGCCAACCTTGCCGACAAGGATGTCTCCCATTGTAGTGCTCTCCTCACGATGTGATTTTTTTCTCTCCCACCACTGAGGTGGCCCCAGGAGCCCTCTTGTACCTGGGAAGGCTGTGACTCTGGCAGGTGTGGTACAGATGGGACTGTAGCCTCTGCCTGGATCTCTCCATGTGCTGCTTCTTGCAACTCCACTTCCTATTGCAGCCCAAGCAGCCCTCGCAGCCCTCCAAGGAGCACCATGAGTGGTCACAGCCTGTGGCCCCTGTGTAGGTCCCAGCCACCAGGCAGCATCCACCTTCCAAGTGTGTGAAGGAGTGAGCTCACCATGGTCACAGCCCACCCACCCAATCATCCCCAGCCTCTGAATGCCCTCTGCTGAGACCCCATAATCTGGGAGCAGAGAAAGTCTTTTCTGCCATTGTCCTTGTGAAATCTTACCCACAGGATGTGTGAGCATCAGAAAGTGCTGGCTGGTTATCATCCCACTGTTGGGATGATTTGTTACGTGGCAGCAGTGACTGAAACACTGTCAGTGAGGGAGGGAAGAAGCTTCTTTCCCAGTGATCATTTCTTTCCATAACATGCTCAGATAATACACAGGTTCTCAGGGACTGCGTTTTAATGGTACAATTTTTACTGTTGCCATCAACACCATGATTTCCATCCTAGGAATTGAACCGTGGATCATCGGTTTTCCTCTGAATAGAGTAGCTGTGACAGGGTATTATTGAGGTGTATATCTTTAATTCTTGTTTCTCCCCCTTCCCCCTCCATCTGGCTTTCTAGAACTTTATCTTTCTACTCCTTCCTCCTATTATGCTGGTTGGACTGGGGACAGAGAAGGAGCCAGTGTGCTTTGGAACCTGGATAAGGAAGAGGGATGCCTGGGAGCCTTTGGAGCCTGATCCCTTAGAGCCTGATGCCCACTTCTCTTCTTCTGCGAACCACACCCTTGGTTGCTGTGAACCTTGCCTCAGCTCCCCACTCAGTCACCTCTGCTCCTCCTGCTCCTTTTCAAAAACAATTCCTACGTGTTTTTCAGTGTGAACAGAATAAAGAGTTGTCCAGAACTTCTTCCTTGTGCATACAACATACTGAAGACTTCTTCATACTCTGCACATAAGATGTTTTTTCCAAGTGCATGTCAGGGTATCTGCTGTCATTAACTCTGCTCCTATATTCCATTTCTCAGACACTAGGATGGGTCCACAAATATTTGCTGTATTTTTATCACTTCTTTTATATATCATATATTTCATAATGTACAAAGGCACATGCACCACTGTCTTTGATACCACATGACCTCTTCAGTTTCTTAAATAAGGGCATTTTCCCAATAGTCCATTTTGTTTTCCTCAAAGCATCTCTTAAGTCCTTAACTAAGTGAATAATTTTATAAGCCTCTCCTCAGTTTTGTAATGTGTTTATTTTAGAATAGATTTTCTCTAAGAAATGCCTCTAAACAATGTTGACAGTCTCTTTCCTTGAGTGATAAAATTAATAGGATGTGCCCTCAAATAAAGAATTTTGTTACATGTTCTGGAAAAAAAAAATAAACAACACTAGAGAGATCCCTGAACAAGATCTCCAGTTGGTATATTAGTAAACTCTCTCTGATGAAACACATATTCTGCATGAAAGCATTACCTGCCTCATTATTTTAACACAATGAAATTTAAGTACACCCTCCAGCAGTTTTCTAAAAAGTAGCTAAAACACAATCAGATGCCTATTGCAAGTAACAAAGTAACATGTGAAAGGGAAGCCTTTAAATGTTACTTCCTGATCATCATTTAAGGAGGTTGTTAACCACTGTTCTGTGTGCCTGAACAGGTATGTTTTGCATAGTACACTGTGAGTGTTACAACTTTGGCATGACAAGTGATATACTTAACCAAATTGACTGGGAAGATGCTGGTAGATGTATACAATGAAAGATGATAATTTCCTACCAGGGACTATTACAACTGAGGTAGAAAGTTAGAGCTTAAAGAAAAGATAAGAATGGGGTGGGGGGGTGAGTTGAATCAGTCACTCTTGTTGACGATTCTGGAAGGAGATGGGCTGGAGCTGGTTGTTAAATGGGCAATTGAAGAGGAAATTTGAGAGGAACTGGCAGAAATTCATCGCCATTCTGGTGTTTTTGTACCAACTCTGGAACAGAAAGACTTGGGATAAAAACATTGCAAACTGTACTTTTACTTACCCCTGCTGTTGAGGTTCATAACTTTCACTGTGTTGCTAAAAGGCTAGGTATGGGCAACTGGGTTGGTCTCTAAGCATTAAGAGTGTCCAAAGTATGTATCTACCTCTTTATCAGTGTGCCTGAGTCTTATGGAATGCCAGCTGGATTTGGAATGTAACTCCAACATTTTCCAAATACTGTTTTAGAGTCTATCAAGTTTGATACAGAAATATAAACAGTATAAACAATGGCAGCAAATGAAATGAAGTTAGTGAGAGAGTTCTCTAAGGCCTCATGCCACTCTGATCTCTGTCTGTCTGTCTGTCTATCTATCTATCTATCTATCTATCTATCTATCAGTACTGGGGATTGAACCCAGGGGCACTTAACCAACAAGTCACATCCCGGCCTTTTTTTTTTTTTTTTTTTTTTTTTTTTTTGAGACAGGGTCTTGCTAAGTTGCTGAGGCTGGCTTTGAACTTGTGATCCTTCTGCCTCAGCCTCCAGAGTCGCTGGGATTATAGGCATGTGCCACTGTGCCTGGACACCCTGATTTCTTTTATAGAAAACAAGGACCTGGGACTAGGGTGTGAGTGAGATGAAAATCCATTAAGATGTGTCACTTCAATAATTTTTAAAAATCAGATGCAGCTTATAAAGTAGGTGCACAGGAGAAGGCATCACTGCCGATGACCTGCCCACTTCCTGAATGTTAGCTGAGACTAACGAGGTTCCTAAAGTGCATGTGGCAAGCCTGAGGAATTTGACAGTTGTTGAGAATCTCTTAATAGGACCCTTGGAGAAAAACTAATCATTGTGTAATGTTAGTGATAATTATGGCTTCCTTCAAAACTGCCCGTAGTCCTGCTTCCTATTTGACAGTCAGGGGGACCTTTCCTTGTCTGTGGACCTCTCATTGATGAAGACCTTTATTTATATCTATGTCAATTTAGAATTATTCTGTACTTAGAACAGATAGCAGTGTGGTGCTCTGAGCTCTGAGCTCTAGGACAGCTCTTCTTTTCCCATAATTTTATCTGAAACTCTCTGTGGTACAATTTTCATATTTTACTGACAGAGGTCATTTCAACCCATTATTTTCATCACAAGCAACTCATTTATCTCTCCCCTTTTGTTTTACTTTCAAAGGGAATATGATGTCCTTTACTGTAAATGAGGGTGTCACACTACATGGTTTTATCTCTAAAATTATTTTTTATTCACCTCTCCTTTATGATTTAATGATTTTTCAATGCACTCATTATATCATGTGTATATGTTTCATTTATCACCTGCATGCTGAGGGGTTTTATTTGTGTATTTTCAGATAGGCCAGTTCATTTGCATTAGGATTATACTGTTTTTTTAGGGTTGAGAGAGAATATCCAATAGGCTGTTTCCTCAAGACCCTTGGAACAAGTCCTACATTACTGAGTACTTTGAATATGCTTAGAACTTTAAAATCGGGTTGGAATGCCATTGTCATTGAAAATCAAGCTGAACTTGAGCTGGCTGCAGTCAATTCAGCATCCTCCTGGTCTAAGTATATCCAGAGAATGATTTCACCACTGTCAGAACCCTTCTGTTAAATTGTGTTTTTCTGCAATAAAATTGTCCGCAATGTCCAGCAGCGAAGTTTGGTAAACAGTTCAATTTTAAGAGACCAGAGCTCTCATTTAAAAAGTACTTGAGTTTTTCCAGAAAATCCATTTATCTCGGCCATCTCCTCCCACCCTATAGCCTGCGTTCCCCAAATCCTTCCGTCTCTTCTTACACGTCTATTTGTCTCTCTGGTGTGTGCCACGTTGGGGAGTCTTGTTAAACCGGCATCTGTTCTGTTTTAGGAGAAACCCGACGCCAGCCCCACATCACTTCAGCTGCGGTCCCAGATCGAAGTAAGCACAGTGACTTTAGTCATCTATTTCTGCTTCTGCCTTTTCTTCTTGAGTGATATTCTGTGCTAATCAGATGAAGCCGGCTACTCCGCCTGCACTGACGCTGCGAATCTTTTCTGTCTCCTTAGGAGTCACTTGGTTTCTGTAGCGCCGTGTCAACACCAGAAGTGGAGAGAAAGTAAGTGTCCCCTTCTCTGCCCACCATCCGGGTTTCCAGGAAGGTACCTTTTGGGTCTACACAGATGGAAATCAAGTGGGCAGTGGAGTATATGTGACGTGGGGTTGGACATTATTTTCCCCTTGCGGGTCCTGTGCATGTGCATGTATCGAGGTGGCTCAGAAAGGATCTGCCATCCAGTTGGTGACACCTGAGGCTTTGGGGAAGAATTACTGATTTCAAATGGTTTCTTGTGAGGGAATCTCAAATTAATACTTGGAAATAAGGGAGAGGACAGGTAAGTCAACTGAGATGGGTTGTCGTGTTTTGTGACCATTTTAATATGGGATGGAAATCATAAAGAAGCCAAAAACAGGAATACCTTCCCAAGTAAAAAAAAAAAAAAATAAAAACCCCACCCCATACCTCATTTTCCGAGGTGACCTTAAAATAAGAATGAATATGTGTATGTGTGTGTGTGTGTCAGAAACTGGCAAATGCTCTCCAACCTTTCCTGTTAAAGGAAATACTTTTGTTTCCTTGTCCTAACTTGGACCCTGTAATTTCTACTCTCATAGAGGATAATGCTATGCTTTTTCCTATATTTTCAGTATTTCTTTTAGGCAACTTAAAAAACCACAAAAACAAATGTGTTTTCCCTGCTGGTAACCCTTCCCTTTTCTACTTTTGTTACAATTATTCTAGAATGTTCTATTTATGATCTTCTGAGGTAAAGAAATTTAAAGAAAGTTCAGACTTCTAAACAGACACTTCCTCTGGCACCGAGCCATTTGCACTGTTTCGTGCCAAGAAAGGCATAGAAGTGGCTTAGGAATGAAGTATTTCTGGAATGAGAAGCACACGTTAGGAGAGCGTGTGTGTGCTTTACAGCCCGGCTCTGCCTAATCCATCCACGTGTGTGTGCTGTTGGCACAGAGGCAGCTTCTGGGAGGGAAGACGGCTTGGCCAGAAAGCTCCAGTCTGAACGCAAGGGGCAACGTAGGTTTGGTTTCAGGACCAAGAACCATGGGGTTGATGTGCCAAAGAAAACCAAGGCCCTTGCCCAGTCAAGGAAGAGGATAAGTGTGTCCGCAGCATGACTTTCTCTTGTTTTGGTTTCGTTGTGTCCTCTCAGGAACCCAGTGACGTGGAGGCTGAAGTAGATAGGGGATTCGAGTAGACATTGACTTTGAACACGGAGGTCCTATGATGGTATTGAAGCACTTGAGTGAATGGCTGTGGCCCCCCGACCTGGTTGACCGCTTACGTAGCAAGAGTCAGGCAGAGAGGTCAGGTGTTCTCGGCATCTCTGAGTCCTTCAGGAAGCAAGAAATGCTTGTTCTTCCTCCTAGGAGGAAGTGACTCACTAAGTTTGTACTAACCTTAGTTAGGCTGGGTACTTCTCCTTCCCCTCAGTTGTGGGGAGTCATTCTTTCCGTGTTTATATCCTTTCCTTAGCAAAATATGGCATGACTCCTGTGGCCAAGAGAGAGACTGACGGCCTCCTGAGGTTAACAAAAAATTTTCAACATACATAGTCATGTGCACATACACTCCCGAGTCTGTCTGTCTCTGTCAACAGCCCCCAACTCTTCATTTGTAATATTGCCAATTTGCCTCTGTATTTTCAAACGGTTTAGACTTAGGTCTTCCTAAACATTTTAAAAATTTTGAAACAGTTCATCCTTCTTTTCTCTATTCATGGTGTTTGACAGCTATGACATTCTTTTTTTTTTTTTTTTTTTTAACTTTGAAAAACTTTTAACTTCCAGAAAAGTTGTAAGAACTGTGCGGTGACTTCCATGTCAATTACACTTGGACTCACAGTTGTTGACGTTGGCGTGCTCCTGTCTGCCTGCCCTATACACAGTACCACTAATTATTATTATTGCTGAACCAGTTGAAAGTAAGTTGCACACGCCATGACCTTCAGCCCTAAATACTTCAGCATCTATTTCCCAAGGACAAGGACATGCTTTGATAGAACCATAATCTAACTATCAAATATAGGAGATTTTATGGCTTTTCCTAATACACATTTCATACTCAGGTTTGTCCAACTGTCCCAGTAATGTGTCTTGTGGCACTCACTTTCCAGTCCAGTACTTTAGAAAAAAATTACTCCTGTCCTGTCTTTTTGTCCACATTCAATCTGAGAGCATTTATTTGTCTTTTACGGTCCTGACATTTCTAGAGACTGTGAGCCAGTTGCTTTGTGAAGTATTCCTTGAGTGAGGTTCCTTTGTTTCTTTTTTCTCCCCACATCAGGAATCACATGATGTTTGTTTGTCCCCTAATCGGTGATATGAATTTTCATCATTGATGAATGTGGTATCTGCCAGGTTTCCCCTGAGAAGTTACGATTTTTCCTTCTTAATGAATACATATTCTGTGGGGAGGTTATCTGAGTCTGTAAATATCCTGTTCCTCATCAAACTTTTACCTAATGGTTTTAGATTCTTTTGGTGATTCTTGCCTGAATCAATATTTAATGTAATGGTTGCAAACCGGTGATGATTATTCTTAAATTGAAGATTATTTTAGATGAAATCGTCTAAGCGGTTTTGTTTTTATTTTTGTATTCATTTCTAAGGATAAAGTATCATTGTGAAAGCCTAGGTCAGGTTATAATTTGAGTAGAATTGGAACACCGTTTATTTAAGAATTTATTCATTGGACTTAAAAATTTAAATATGTTCACATGGAAAATTCCACTGTTCCTCCCATCACAATGCTTGCTGGGAACTTTGCAGTTGAATATTCAAGCTATGGAGGATGACCTGGCAAACCAGTTGGTTGTGTCTGGATAGTGTCCGCAAAGTGTCTGCCAACCAAAATACCATGCTGACTCATACTGTTGTTTTATGGGCAGAAATTTTCTTCTACTTTTTATCCAAAAGGCAAGAGATATCAGTAAACAAAAGCGGGCAAGTCCTACAGCAGCCCACCCTTAGAGACAGAGATACTGAGCGGGGACTCAGAGACTGGAGCAACTGGCCCCGTGGCTCCTGCGTTCCAGATCCAGTCTCCCCAGTTGTCTCTGGGACCTCAGCATATGCTCCTTCCTCTCCTTTCCCCAGCTAAACCTCTTCTGGGGGCGGGATGCATTATGGATTATGGCATGAATTTTGATGTGAATGTCTGTTTCTAAAAAACACATCACTTCTCCCAGTGGTATTTGGCATTAAACAGAGCTAAAGTTTAAAGTTACAGGAAGATAGCTCTGACCAGCAGACGTAGAGGTGGTGGGTCTTCTGTGGGGGAGACAAGAAGTGAGAATTCTAGTACAACTGAGCCATCCCAGCATTGGATGACCTTGCCAAGTGGGCTAGCAGCTAGGTGTGTTTGGCCTGCACAAACAGAGGTACAGAGATAGAGGCAGGTAGGCAGATCAGTAGGTAGGTAGGTAGATAACAAGAAAGAATAGACCCTCCCTACCCCCATCACTAATTTAACAAAGGCCCCATTTGTTCTTCATGTCTTACTATCTCTCTGTTGTGCCACATTCTGTTATGAGAATATAATCCAGGGAGCTTTCATTAGAGCCTCTTCTGTTACAGCATCTATTGATGAGACTACTTTATTACACCAAACTTGGATCTGTGTCAACTAGCCCAAAAGGTCAACATTAGCTCAGTTTCTTGTTACTCCACAGCTACTCTCAAAAATACCTGGAAAGCAAGGTTGTGGGATTGGGAGGCATTGGAGGTGGCTGGGAAATGTCAACATCATGATCTCTGAGGAATGAGACTGGCCATGAACAACAGAAAAACTGACACATAGTGGTATAAATAAACATGGGGCTCACTAGACATCTTTGCTCCGTGGGTAGGTCCAGGACTGGGCCCGTGGCTCAGCAGGCCTTTAGGAACCCACACTGTGCCCCTGTCCATTTTTTCCTCATGGCCTCAAAGTGCCTGCTGCATCTTCTAGGTGAGAAGAAACAGCAAAGTGTAGGGAAGATGGTAATTTGAAGAAGGCCAAAGGCACATTTCCCTGTCCTTTCTCCCCCCTAAATCTGGGGATTGAACCCAGGAGCTCACGCATGCTAGACGAGAGCTACCACTGAGCTACCCACCTCCAGCCTGTGTATTTTATTTTGAGACAGAGGCTAAGTTGCCGAGGCTGGCCTCAAACTTGCAATCTCCCTGCCTTGGCCCCCTAAGTTTCTAGGATTCCAGGCATGTGCCACCATATCTGGTCCAAAGGCACAGGCCTTTTAAAAGCTTTCCTAGAAACTCTACCCTGCTCATTCAGTTGTAATTCTCATTTCATAATTATTTATGTGATATGTAAACTATCTAATTTATAATATAAAACATTTATATACATGATGTATAATTTATTGAGTGTTTGGTATGTACCAAGAACTGATCTAATTACTTAACATTGACTATTTATTATATAGAACAACACTGTGAAGTTCCATACGACATTATTCCTGTTTACAAATTCAGAAATGGAATCTCAGAGAGGTTACTAAGTTGGCTGCGTAGCCACTAATAGCCAATCCTGAATTTGGTTTCATTAAGTACCCTTGCTCCTGACCACTCTAATTCTCAAGTATTTATAATTGTGTTGCTTCTGCAAATTGAGAGGTTAAGGGTTAGCCAGGTTCGTCAGCAATAAATAAATAGCTGCAATTAAGTAACTACAATCTGTGGTTCTTTTGGAAACAGGAGCAAGTTCTACTCTCATTCAGTTATTTATCCATAGATGCAGGAGAGTCCAAAAGAGATCTTAAAACTTCACCTTAGCCAATATTTATAACTTGTTTTCTACTGGGCCTTTCGCCAAAGTTGAAAATTCACTGATTTAAAATTTCACTCTCTTTCATTACCTGTGACTTCAGTTGAACTGCTTTACAGTGAGAAAGTCTAAATACATACAGCCGGAGTCACCAGGCAGATAAATACAAGGAGAGGGAGCCGGCAGGTTGGGGGCCGTGGTTTGTGGACGTTCTGTGTGAGCATTCGCAGTACCTGGGCATCACTTTGCTCTCAGGTTTGTTTCATCCAGGG